CCAAAGTTAGACGACGAGAATTTCAAGTAGGTAGTCTCTTCCTAAGAAGGAATCACAAAGATTCACGTGAAGGAAAACTCGCCGCTGACTAGGAAGGACCCTACCATGTTAGAGAAAAATAGAGAATGAGGCCTACTACCTAGAACACCTTAACGGGGAAGAACTTGCTCGACCGTGGAACACCGAAAAGCTGAAACCATATTATAGCTAAGGCCTTTACTGTCGGCATGCTTCGCCCACGCGACGAACATAACATACCGACCATAGGTGTGCGCCCAGGTACAAGCGTTGCACCACCAACGTAAATCTAAGCAGGGTCTTAGTTAAGAAAGAACAAAACCCATGCCTGATGTCGGTCCCTCAACTGAACCCGCCGTCACCGAAGTACCATGAAAGGCAGAACGCCCAGCTCGCAATGGGAAGTTCATGCCGCGAACTCAGGCCACAAACGCGATCTGAGCTCCGCTACCTTTCCCGGAAGCTACCCTGATCTTTCGACCAGTTCCCCTCATTGTCGAACATCATTTATCGAGCATACCTTAAAACACAATAATCAATCACTATGGCATCTCATACGACGAGCATTAGGCAGCGTATGACACTTAGAGTAAATTAAACAAAGTATAAACATGTACGAAAATAAATATTAACATAAAAGGACACAAGGACCATAATTGTGCGTGTTAAATTACAAATGGGCCGAGTCTCACAAAAATAAGATTATAAATAAATATGGCTGCTCCGCCTGCTAAAGATCCTCCTACGCTACTTGCGCGTGCTCTTCGCTGATCTGAAGGAAGTCGGGGACGACTATCCTACTGTCTGTAATAGTATAGAGAAACCTAGTACCCTCAGTGGACAGCTCAACATTGGGATTCACTATCTTCATCTGATCTACGATGTTTTGAAAGGCTTTGTCACCAATGGCCAGAAAATCATCCTCGGCCTGGGTAATACGTGCAACCAGCTCCACTCGGGTAGTCAACTTCTTCACATCCTCGTTTTCACCCTCAACAGGGGCAACATCGACTCTCAGCTGCTCGACCAGGTCCTCGACAACTTTCTTCTGGGCGGCAAGGACATCCTTCTCGGCGGACATCTCTTCCCGACACTTCTTGACAACCTCCTCGATGGCCCTTGCCCGTTCCTCCTGAGACTTTTTGGAATTCTCCTCCAGGTCTGCCACCGCAGCCTGAGCTTTCTTCAGCTCAAATTCATGGTGGGAACCCTCCTTGATGTAGACCACCACCATCTCCAAAATCCTCATCAGTGCGGAAGCGTCCTATGCGAGCATGGTCCTTTTACTCGGGCGATTCATCTCCTCGAGCTTCAGGGACTCCACTGGAGGAATTGCCAAAGAATACCCCTAAAAAACCTCTTGTTATGCATGCACGGGGGAAACTCGAACCTGCTCTTCTCTATTTCCCTGCTAAGGTCCACAACCTCGTTCACACGTGGACATTTAAGCCTCTGGCTTACAGGCAGTGGTGACAAATGGGGCGGCCGACGGGGTGGACGAAAAGGTCACTGACCCGGTATGAAGAGGAGGCGCTTACTAGCTGAGACGACTCTTCCCTATTGTGGGGCCTCCCTTTATCTTCCGCTAGGTATTCTTCATCATTCGCTCATGATCAGAAGACATATTACTTGCAAAATAACGGACACATTAGTACACGAAAGAAGCAGCAACTTAGATAAACTAAGAGGAGATAAAAGACTACCCAGGAGTTCTAGATCCCTCGCACGAGTGCTACACTCTAGGAGCTCTTTCGTGTTAATATATTGGGCCTCCACCTAAGGTCCCCCATCTTCCTTGTAAATAATCTTCCCAGCACGAGTCACGCACTGGGCAAGGAGAAAGCCATCCACAAAAGCCACCAGCTTGGCATAACTGGCACGGTGATAATCCCCTAGCTGATGAGGAATGGCGATGTATTCGTCGGTTGAGCGGGTAAAATAGACCCCACTCAAGAAAAAGGGGAACCTATACAACCTTCGGGAAACCATGTTGTCGTGCTCGTCTACCAAGTCTTCCTCGTGTTCATCTGTCGAGACCTCCCAGACGAATGTTGAGTCGGTGGCCATTTCTAACACCGACTCAATAAAATAGAACCTTTCTTTGAAAGTCATGATAGACTCAAAAAAAGGTTTGAATAACTTTCTCCCCTGCTTCAGGGAGACTCAGCCAAAATTCCTCCCCGATATTTGTCGCTGGAGGTGGAAAACGGTAAAGAAAACGGGGAGAGTATCCCCAATCTTCAAATACTCACATACTAGCTTAAATGCCCGTATAAAGGCAATCGAGTTCGGGTGCAGATGCGAGGACGCCGAGTCTAAATGCACGAAGACTGCCCTCTAGAAACTTGAAAAGGGAAACCTCAACCATATCTCCTTGAAAACGTATTTGTACATGGGGAACCTCTCCCTGTACGACGAGTAGATACAATCATCTTCTCAAGGGAAGTGGACCTTCCAATCTCCTTCGGCCCCCACCGTCGTGAAGACGTCCCTAGTGTAAGTGGAGAAAAGTGAGGCGTACTCCCCTGGCTCAGCCACATACCATTCCTCGGCAGTGGTCCTCAAAACGGGCACTTCCCTAACATCAAGAGGCGTGGAAGTGTCGTCGGTCTCAGTGTCTCCCAGGAGCTCTCCTCGGACAAATCTCTCTGGGTATCTTCTTCGGCTTTGTGCGACATCTCCTTTACCTGAAAAACAGAGGATAAAGGTGAATTCGATGACAGAATCAAATTCATCCTTCCTCCGCTAGTCAAGTGAAAGGGCGTACAAAAGCCCGAGGACAAAGTCCCCGACCTAAGCCCTACTCAAATGGCACAGTTAACAAACGAGGAGGTGCCCCCTGGTACACTCGGGGAAAAGACCCCATGGTACAAAACCCAGAATCTCCATTAAGAGGCCACCAGAAAGCTCATAAGCACACTGGAAATCCGTGGTTCCGACCGATGACAAAAGTTTCCGTGTTACAACAGCATTAGGATCAGCTAAATCCTAAGTTTCTAAATCCTAAGCTCCACGACGCCAGCAGTAGAAGAAGGTGACCAAACCACCGTCTGCCACCAACAGTCACCGGAAAGCAGCCCTAAACTATTTCGTAACAACCCTAACCACATGCATTCTAAGAAACGGAAATTAATGAAACAAACAACAAGGAAGAAAATCATGTACTTACGTGGTCGAGGACGTGATTTTGAGGTCGAACGGTTATGGCCGGTGAAGGTACGGAGGCCGGTCGGAACTAGACGGTGGCGGACTGCAAAGACAAAGAGTGAAGGTAGAGAGAGAAGCGAAAAGTGCAAATGAGCAGCTTTTCGCTCTATTTATAGAGAATCTATGGCATGTGCACGAGCATGCGCGGCTAGGGCATCATCATGACCCTAGCCTAGCAATCATTACGCATTAAACACGGTATACGGCTCGAGGCACGTGTGACACTTCACCTATTCAGATCCCATCAACTGTTGGTCTCCCCGTACCTCGAGCTCCCCGACAAGCAGTGCAACAGGTCCTCGGACACAGATTCCCTCGGGGGCAAGGTAACAGTCTCGTCTCTGCAACAAGTGAAGACCTCGCTCGGAGTGCAAACTATCCTTAATTCATCACTCCCATGCTCGGAAGCAACGACTTGGGGGCTACTATTCTGGATTGGCCCAATGGCTAGGCATGATCCAATCCACTTCTGCTCTCAGAACGACCCAATTTCTTAAATCCAATCAGTTTGGAGGAGCATTTACCTTTTTGCCCCTCCAACATGGGAGGTTGACTAGTTTTCCCTGGGTCACCACTTCTCCTCGTTAGTCCTTTCCCATCACGCACGGTCCCACCATCCAGAAATAGTTATGACGCTTGTCTCCATTACTGCGTCTCTGCTCGTAGCAACAACTAGTTATAGGCACCTCTGCCCGTCCCAACGGCTAGTTTTTGGCAGTTACCTATTCTTCGAGAAACGATTATCTCTCTCCGAAAATAGAGACTAATGGCCAAGCGCTGGGGGCACTATAAAAACCCTTTCATTTGAGAGAGTCATATATTCAATATTCACGCTGATACACACATATTTTGTACTTACCTTCTTTCTCTTGATTCTTACTTTAGTATTAGAGTGTTTTGCAGGTACACCCCCTTCTCGTCTCTCACACCCAACATCACAGACAAATGTCTCTGACCCACTTCAAGTTCTAATCAGCCGACAAGATTATATATATATATATATATATATATATATATATATATATATATATATATATATATATATATATATATATATATATATATATATATATATATATATATATATATATATATATATATATATGAGTGAGGTAAGTTAAAAAACTTACTCGAGAAAGATATTAATTTTAGATAATTAAAAAACTAACAACGTTAATTTTGGTAAATTAAATTAAAATTTGCATAAAAATAACATATTTTAGATTATGAGAATGAAAAAGGATATTTATAGGCACTATTTAAGGGAACTGTTTTAGCCATCACTGTTTTAGATCTTAAAAAAACTGAAAAAAAAAAAAAGCGCCCGTCTCTTACAGCTCTAATCTAATCGTCTTATAGAAAACGTGACAGAATTTTATATAAAAATAAATTAAACAAAAATAAATCTAAATCCCCTCAAAATCGGGACCCAGACGTACTTTACGGCGAGCAGCAAGGAATATTTTGCTATATATATATAAAAAAAAAAAAACACATCCAAATCCAAATTCTAATCATCTTCTAATCACAGAATTAAACACAAATTAAATCAAATCATAACTAATAAACCATTCTTTTCGTTTCTTCAATTCCCATTCCCTCAATCTCAATGAACCCTAATCTAACCTAATTGAATTGCATCAAGAATTTCAAGAACGCACGAATTCGTCTCGAACGAGACTCCATGCCACCGTGGTTCTCCCTCATTGCCCTCTCAAAAGAGGACTCTTTCGTTTTCGCTACGAAATTCGTTGATTCTTTTCGCTCTAACGATAATGTCTACTGATTCTCATTCTCCTAATCTATTTCACAGAGGTGTTCTTTGCAATGCCGGTGCCGGTGCTGCCGCTGGTATGTCAATTTCAATTTCTTTAAAACCCTGTTCTCATTCTCCTAATCTATATAGATTATTTTATTCGTTATAATGTGAATCATGATATGCAATGTGACTTTTTGTTTTTATTTTGAAAATTTTAATTTCATGCAGGGGTTATTGCTGCCACGTTTGTATGTCCTTTAGATGTAATCAAAACTAGGTTTCAGGTTGGGACTCCTCAGCTTGCTAATAGAAGTGTTAGAGGTATGCACACAACAATGTGGACCTGCTCTGTATTGTAAAAAATACTTTCTTTTTGATATTTTTGTTTTAGAGTTTGTGTCGTTGTTCTTAGAGTTGTTAGAATAACCAGAAAGAGATGTGAATAAACCTAATTTAAGAACTACAGGTGAATAATGTATTGATGTAACTGACATTGGGCGTTTGTGTTTTCAGGTAGTCTTATAGTTGGTAGTTTAGAGCAAGTATATCATAAGGAGGGGTTGCGAGGATTGTACCGCGGGCTATCCCCAACTGTTATGGCCTTACTTCCAAACTGGGCTGTGAGTTCACTTCTTGTTATCTGCTTCTTGGCATTACCTTATCTTATGAACTATTCTTCTTCCTCTTTTGAGAGATATTTTTGTGTCATATATAATTGTTGTTTTTAGCTTCAAATTGGCAATGAAAAACATATAGAAGGGGAAAACCCCCTGGTAAATCACAAATGTGACTTGCTTTGGTGGAACCTAAGGTAGGAAATAGAGTTGGGTTTTAAGAGTCCATCAGTGGTTGATTCTGTGCTGTGAAAGTGCGTTCATTCAAATTATATTTTGGGAAATTAGTGGGCTTTGGTTTTTCTAAGAATCAACTAGGAACATGGAGAATGCTTTTAAGTTGATGAGACGTAGAAATTAACTTAGATATTATTGTACCCTAGAATAGATGATTGGTATAGTTGCATCACAAATCAAGAAAATACTAATCTTGCTGCAATTGCAATGATTATACAACTGCACGTTCCGTATTATTTGATAGTTGAGTTCATAACTTAAACATGGCATAAGTTGATCACTCTTCCACTAATAAAATGTGTGACCCATTTAAATAAATAAGTGATAACTCACAAAATTTGCAGAAATTTTATTTGAGATAAGCTAGGATAATTAGTTAGAATCGGAACTATCATAATAACTACCAAGACTGGCAGGTGTCAGCTTGGAATTGTATCCTACCTGCTACAACAGGTCAACTGGTTGCTTCTGGTGGCTTCTATAAATGCAACCAGTTGCTCTCGTTTGTAACTAACAAAAAATCATTCAATGAAAAGTTAGTTAGAACTGTAAATGAACAGTCCAAGTGCAAATTGTATCTCTATCAAATATAGACAGCGATAAGAACCTTACTATGTGAAACACATGGTAAAACACCTGGACCAAGAAATAGAACACTAACCAAAGTAGCACTAATTGACCACATAATACACATCTAATTATTTATGATTCTATTAAGCAATTTTTTATTTTTACTGGAATGATTTTGTAGAGATATGGGGGCAACCATCAAACCAGTTAAATCTTTTAATCTTATACCATACCTTCTGGGGTTTCTTGCTTCCTAATCAATAAAACTTGCTAACAGTGATGTATTTTGTTGGCCTCTACATATCTCTATATGTCACTGGCTTTGTGTATATATACACTATTTCGTTATAGCAGAATAATGTTATATTCTACTAACTACTAATTTATCTATTTATTGATTTGCAGGTCTACTTTACCGTGTACGAGCAGTTCAAGAAGCTGCTTTCTGATGGTTAGTTTATTGATGATTACTTTTGTTTTTAAGCTTGTTAATTTGCTGTTTGTGTGCGCGTGCTTTCACAGTGCTGTATATTCATCCATTTGGAAGTACAAATTATAACAGACAGCTATGATATGTATGCAGATGAAAACCACCGCCTTTCAGTTGGAGCTAATATGGCAGCTGCTTCAGGTGCTGGAGCTGCAACTACATTGGTTACAAATCCATTTTGGGTTGTCAAGACAAGACTCCAAGTGCGTTTTTTTTCAGCTCAGACTGAATATTATATCACCAACGATTTTCTTATGCTACCAATTTAAAATATATATGATTGCCATGATTCGTGAGTGACTCCTATGATTAAAATATGTGCATTTCGTTGTTTATTAAGGAAAATGTTGGACAGATAGAGGGAGTTATTAAAAGTATACTCTAGAGGGAAAGTTGCAACTAATAAGTAAATAGGTGTTGAGTATGAGTAGTTTGGTGTAGATAGGGAAGATGGCATAATAATTTTATTAGTAAAACTATACTCTGTTTTAGTAAAAAGGGAACATTTCCCTTGAAAGTGGATGTTTTTGCCCCCTTGTGAATTGAATAAACACATTTTTTATTTTCTACTTTGAATCATCTTTTTATTTCATTTTCTTGGAGATATCAATTGGTCTGGCCTTCTTTTTTTTTGTTTTTTGAAGGAGAGTCAGCATTTGCATTTTCTTGGAGATATATATATGCATCAAAACTAGCTGACTTATTTTATCCTGCCTATCATCAGTGCATGCATATTTTCCTGACATGAAGTCTGTTTCCCTTGTTACCGCAGACCCAGGGCATGAGATCCGGTGTTCTGCCGTATAGAAGTACCCTATCTGCTTTGAAGAAAATAGCTCACGAGGAGGGCATTCGTGGGATGTACAGGTTGGTATCATTTAATACCGATACAACATTGTGGGCATTGTATAATGCTTTATAAATTATAATTAATTTATTAGTAACTATAGACATCTGAGATATTCTTTATCATTAACAGTGGCCTTGTCCCTGCTCTGGCTGGTATCAGTCATGTTGCCATCCAGTTTCCAACCTATGAGAAAATAAAATGTTATTTAGCAAATCGAGGTAATTTAATGCTTGATCTAGTTCTTTGGGTGTCTTGAGAGTTTCAGCAGTTGATTGATTTGATCATTATTTTGTATATCAGGTAACACAACAGTGGATAAACTCGGCGCACGGGATGTTGCAATTGCCTCATCAGTCTCCAAATTTTTTGCATCTACGTTGACATATCCTCATGAGGTATCTTGCTGAATGGTTGACTTAGTTTTGTTGATTATATTCATGCATAATCATACATAACTAATTTCCTTGTCGTACGAATATAATGACCTAGCCATTTATAAATCCATTTCAGTGGTTAAACAAAAAACAAAAGTGCATTCACTATCTAGCCCCCTTTAACGTTGGGCCTTTCCAGTGCCAGTACAAACTTTGAGGTCCTCTCAGTTAGTCCCTAAATTTTAATGACTTAAATTGACCCTTGTTCAATTTTTGTAAGGTCTCTAATTTGACATATGTCAAAAAAACCCAATTCATCCACAAGTGTTTATCTAAGACAATTGTTTAATTTTTTAATAAATTAAAATGTTTATGAATTTCAAACTTCATGAATTAAAATTTTAAAGGAACCACAGCACAAGGCTTTGATCAAATTACATGATGCCAGCTTAGCTGTTGCTTGAAATATTTCTCTTAACATATTGCCTTTTCTCACATTTCCTTCCTTTCATTGCCAACATAGAAAGCCATTTACCACACATATTGGTTTGAGAACTATTCATGAAATCCTTGTTTTGACTTTTAATGTATGAGGAGGGCAAACATCAGAAAGTATAAAATAATTTTGCTTTTGGTTTGCAGGTTGTTCGATCTAGACTGCAAGAACAAGGACCTCACTCAGAGAAGCGGTACTCTGGTGTGGGCGACTGCATTAGAAAGGTATTTCAACAAGAGGGAGTCCCTGGTTTTTACCGTGGATGTGCCACCAACCTCCTGAGGACAACCCCAGCTGCTGTAATCACATTCACCAGTTTTGAAATGATACATCGTTTTCTAGTTTCACTTTCCCCTTCTGACCCAGAGCCCCCTTCTGCCGCGGAGCTGCATAATTTGTAAAGATGAGGCTTGTTCAAAAAAGTTAGTTCAGTTGACAAATATTCTTTTGGTGATTAAATTAAAATATCATTCTTTGTGATTTTTTTATTGTTTATCTACTCTAGAAGGTAGATTTTTGCCCTCCTCAAATCGCACCTGTGCAAATTAACTGACTTTGTAGGCCGAGAGAGGTCTTATTATAAATTTTATGAAGTGATAACGATGATAAGTTAAGATAAAACATGCTGGTGCATATTTTATTATGAAACTGCTGATTAATGAAATCCTCACACTGCATCACATCTCATGCATATATCGAATGTTAGAGTTTTGATTTGATCACTCAATCACAATACTACTATATTAGTCATAGAATTCAGAGCATGTTTGTTTCTCTGTTGCCATGCCTAATAGGAATTCAGATTCCTGCAATTAAACTGTTTGTGCACTCGTGCATTTTGTTCGTTTGTAATCATTGGAACGGGACTGTCAATCTAACGACTACAAATGCACCATATGCGTGAATGCTAAAAACCAACTATATTGTGTCAGCGCATATATAGCTTTGATGTGGATGCTAGTGAACGATGAGATTGATCTTTAGAGGGGCACTCTATGCTATGAGTTCCATTGATGCTGTACTGCTGGGTGGTGGGATATAATGTGTGCCTTTATTGAGGTACTGAATGTGATTCCTTATCATGATGCATAAGAAAAGTGTAGAGGCTAGTGGCAATTACAATAACTTGAGGACTAGTAGGTCCTGGTTAAATTTAAGTTGAACGCAACTGCCCTTAAAGAAAAACACTGTTGTTATGATTTTGATAAAATATCTCAGATTAGAAACGATGGGAATGAAAGCATCAATCATTGCTTTTTCCTTTTGAATGTTTAAAGCATAAAAAAGTACAAAAAAGAAAATGCAAAAAGAACCATTACTATCTCAAAATGGAGTATCGAAGCTTTTTGGATAGTTGCTTTTCTCTTTTAAAATTCTATCAAACAAGGAACAAAGTGCAACTAAACATGGGATTACTAGAGTTCATAGTTCTGGTAGGATAGTACATATGCACTTTGAATGCCTAACTTAAACTTGTAATAGATTCAGCTAAATTACCAAACATTAAAAACATGTTTTATTTTAGTGTCTGTTTCCCCTTTTGAACAATTGGATCGATTATGTTTTAAACTTTAAAGTAGAAAATGTAAAACCAAATATAACAGTTCGTTTGTGTTTTCTTAATTACATGAAATCGTTTTTTAATCTCTTTCTTTCCATTAGAATGACAGATAAGTCATGATGTCCCATAACTGGACAACTCATTAGTGAATACAAAGTGGGAGGCATCCAAAGATTGTGGACAAAACACATAGGATTGGATTCGTTTGTCATGATCTATCACATTCAAAAGAAACAAAAGAAAAATTAAAAGTTACTGTGGCTTTACTTTCTATTTAATTTGAGAAAAATAAATATGATTTGAAAGTGTTGAAAATCGATATGTTTTACATTGATTAAAAAAATAAGATTTAATATTTTATAAGTAAAAGAATGGTTTAAAGGTAGTGCACGTAAGACAGTTTTACACATTCAACCAATTAAAATGTTTATAATTGTCATGTAATATAAATATTTTGAAAATAAAAATATATTTTCTTTTTCCTCGTAAAAGAATACATACACTTATCAATTTATGATTTTTGGATAAATATATGATGTATCTTCTATTTGATGTGTTATTCTTAAAAGAAAAAACTTCAATGTAGAATATTCCTTGATGATCTCAAAAATTGATGATCCAATGAACTTGTATATAAGCACAATTATATATAGAATTTAATTGGTATATATTGACGGTGTAAAATTATTTTACACGGTCAATTAATCATTCTCATGCATCTCGTCACATCAAATTGTAAATTTTAAGTAGAGAGAGATGATCAACTTATTTTAAAAGTAAATTTTTTTTAACTTACTCTACATTATAGCCTTTAAATTGAATTTAATTTAGTGATTAAATTAAAATTTTTATTTATAAATATTCGATTAAATCTAATTTAAAAACTATGATTGTGGAGGAATAAATTATAAAGACTTATTCTTAAAGTGAATTCTCACTTTTTATATATATATATATATATATATATATATATATATATATATATATATATATATATATATATATATATATATATATATATATATATATATATATATATATATATATATATATATATATATATATATATATATATATATATATATATATATATATATATATATATATAAGCGGGGACTTAGATTTTGGTAGTGACGTTATGCATATGGTGATAAAAGAAACAAATGAATGATTGCTCTTTCCATTCTAATGTAAAGTGCTAAGATGACTTCCAAAACTTAATGATCTAACCGTTTTTTGATGAACTTAAATATAAACGCAATTAATTATATTTATGTATATCATAATTTTATATTTGATAAAGTGAGAAAATGCATTATTTATAAGAAAACATGGACTTAAGTTTTGGTAGTGGCGTTATGCATATGGTGGTGATAAAAGAAACAAATGGTTGCTCTTCTCATTCTAATGTAAAATACTCCTTCACGATGATCCTCAAAAATGGATGACCCAGCAGATTCTTGATGAAATTGTATATAAACGCAATTAGTTATATTTATTTATAGGAAAATGCTAACGAGTACCCTCAGGACATTGGTTAAGAGATTAAAATAGTAAGTTGATCATTATTTAAGAGATTGAAAATACATTTTTTTTTTAAATATATGTGTATTCAATGCCCTGAAAAGAGAAATAATCAGACTTTTTAAAGAATATTGTGTGTGTTAAGTGAACTAAATATAACATATTTTTCTTATTTGAAATTCTTAACTAGTACCCTGAGGACACTGATTAGCATGACCCTTATTTATATTATGATTTTTTTTTTCATATATGATAAAGTGATAAAATGTATTATTTATAAGAAAAACTGAGACTTAGATTTTGGTAGAAATTATTTTTTAATCTATTTTTTTAATATTCTTAGTTATGTAGCGCATTTTTTTTTATGTCCCCTGTTTTCAGAGTTGTATCTCCGAACACACCATTTTTTTCTTTTATGTTGAATACTTTCGGAGACACATCTACGAAAAAAATTTCATAGATGCATCTCTGAAATCTTATAAGAATAAGTTTTTTGTTTTAAAATTCAGTTTTGTTGGTCGCAGATAGAAATTAATTATTGCAAATGAATATAAAATAACATATATCCATAAATAAAATTATATATATATATATATATATATATATATATATATATATATATATATATATATATATATATATATATATATATATATATATATATATATATATATATATATATATATATATATATATATATATATATACGCGCACACACACACGTGTGTATATATATAAATGAAGTATGTCATAAACATCATCAAAAAAATAGACATCAATGTCATCAAAATATAGTACATAAAAAGAAACACCACAGTCACTACTGTGTGTGCCTGACAACTTCTTCATCCTCTCCTCTGCCTATGCATATACCGCATTCTCGACCGTCCGATCTGCGTCCTCACCCATCGACCCCACCCGTCCTGGCACGATGTCTACGGTACATAAGTGCCCCCCTCTGCCACCGCAATCATCCCATCCAATATATGTCTGTGGTCAGATGTTGGTACAGTGGTAAAGTATCGGGGTTTGTTATCGTCTCCACAGAAAATCTGAGATATTGTCGCCGTTCGACAGTTGTCAAGTTTTTAACTTATAGTAACAATGGGGTTTTTGTTTTTCGTTACGGTAGCTTGCATAGAAAAAGTAATAAATGCGGTAAAAGTTTATGTTTTAAGATTTGAGAAAGATTGTCAAAGTTAAGGTTCGACGATCACTTTGCATGTATATGTTCGATCAACAAAACTAGTAAACTCCGTTAGATGATAAAAAATTTCCCAATATCCTATCAATATGTTTATTTCTAACACACATTGTGATTTTTCCCATTTTGATCCATTGTTGATTTCTCACACAATCTATCAAAATGACAACTTTTAGGGTTTGATACTTTGGTGAACAACCACATTCAAGACTATATCTAGCTCAAGAACATAGATGGATGAAAAATTAGGTAAAGAGTTGGAAAATATCTTTCAATCATAAACCAATACAAAGAGCTAACAATAAAACAAAGTTTTCACCATATATTCATCATCAAAGAGTTTACAAATGAAGATTATCCCATATACATACAAAGTTAATGATCACCTACATCTAACCTTGACAAAAGAAAAGATTTAGCCACTCATTTTCATGGTAGCTTGCACAAGAAGTTTCGGAAGAAGGTTGATGAACATCCGAGTTGAAGAATCCAACTTGGATGAGAATCCACCTTCTTTTTGTAGAATAATGTTAAGAGATGAAGAAATGAGAGATATTGGGTTTCTAGGGCACAAAAATCTGCTTTTGAGCAGAACTAGTAAAAAAAATATGATATGATCTCAAAAAGTACACATTGCTACTTATAGAAAAAGTTGTTGTGCTGTCATGCTCGCAACCTTGCTCGCCTAGCGAGCTCACAGCGAACGCTCGCTACATCCCCGCCTAACGAACATGCTAGCGAGGACTGGTGATTTGATTCTGGAATGTTTCGCTACTTGCTCGCTAGGTGCTCGCCTAGCGAGTCCTTCGCCACCTTCCTTGTTGCCAGCGAATGATGCCAATTTGATTCTGTCCAAGTCTGGGAGTGTTCGCCAGCAGCTCGCTATGAGCTCGCCTAGCGAACAACTCGCTACCTCACTCGCCAGGTGTTCGCCTAGCGAACATGCTTTTGTTCTTCTTCTTGCTTGATTCCTTTGCCTTCTTTCTTGTGTCTTAAACTTCTATTCTTTCATGCTTAAATACTGCACAATAACACACAAGTTAAAGGGACCAAGAGCATTTCACATAATGTTGCATATCAACAAAAGCAAGGAGGTTTTGAACACAAACTAG